CGCTGCCACCGCACCCCCGCCACTCCCCACATCCAGTCCACATTGTATGTCCATGCATATGAGAGGTCGTACACATACGTGACGTCACACACGCACGACACAGAATGCGGATGGGATGGAGTGAAGGCAGCCTCAGCTCGGGAAAAGCCCTCGTTCCGCAGAGGAGGAAAGCAGGCGGCTATGGAGATGAAGGAGCCATCCCCGAAAAAAAGAGCAGCCCAAAAACCGGAAAACAGAAACAAAGAGCATTTCCCTTCCATCAGTCTTCATTCCTCCCCTAGCGGGACGAGAAACGTAATGGTGTGTCTGACACATGGATCAGCAGAAGGAGTGCGGAAGAGGGCAGTTTCTCACCTAAAATAGCGGTTGGCACAAAGGGAGGATCTGCGCATACACCAAACCAGCATGGAGTTGAATGTTTACAAGGAAGAGAAACAGAGCAGTAAACAGGTGAATGCAATACTCCACAGGGCAGAAAGAGGAACATCGTACAAACGAGCAGCAGGTTTGTTAGTTACAGAAGGAGCAACAGAACAGCGCAAACAGAGTCAGAAGCTCTCGGTTCTCCGGTGGAAGGAGCAGAGGGTGGAGGTGCCCAACGAACAAAAACGGCAGAGAACGGGTTCTCCGACGGGGGCAGCATGTTGCCACGTTATGGGCCGAACTTACCGCAACTTCACAACTTACTAATGCCACCTCAATGCCTTTCTTATACTAATTAACCAGGTACGATAAGCTCCGGAAGTTAGCATAACTGGTAACATTACTCTCCGTTATTCAGAAAGGTTCGTAGTGTGGGTAGTATCAGAGAGGTTAAGAACGTGCCTAGATTCTCTCATCGTCTACCGTTTATGATGAGGTTACACGTACAACGGAGAGGTAAGAAGCATGAGCATTACCTGGGTAGTAGGAGTTGGGAACAGTGGTGCTAAGTGTGTTAGTCTTCAGAGTGAATGATGACGGGGAGGACACAGCTTGGAACAAAATGAGAAAAGCAAACAGGTAAGTAGCAAGTACAGGCACCGGCCGGCCACAGTGCGATTCGCACGTTTACTATTCATATTCACCCAATCCTGGGAGGAGGACACCCCTACAAAGGGTCGTGTACACCCTCTGAAGTCAAAATAATATTCATAACAGACTGAGGAGACATGCAGTAGAACGTCTCCTCGTAATTACACAATGAGGACAGGAATTAAAACTGCCAAGAACAAATCAAGAAGCAAATCCATATGAAGTTGTACTACTGCCTCCATCTTATGGAAATACCTTCTGACTGTGTGTTTAATAATTTAATACGGAGATGGCGCTTACCCCCTGCAGGTCACAAACAGTCACTACACTATTGGGAGTGAGGAGATGACTGTTTATGGGGGGTCCAGAAAATACGAACCCGCCCGTGATCATATATAACGGATCCACATGGGGAGTGTGGTGTTGTCTGGGGATACCAGCTTTTAGGGGCTTATCTTGGTGGAACGACCTGCTCGTGGGCTAAGGAAATGCGTCTGACAGACGGGCAAGCAAGGTCACGTCTGAAGAGGTTCTGCTGTTGGAAAAGCGCCGGGCGCTGAGCAGGGAGGAGCCCTAATCATGGATTAGCCGGGGTTAGCCTGACCGACGTGACCTGAGCATAGGGCTGTGAGTCATCTCAGTGAAGGAAATGGGTACAAGGACAAGCCATAGGCACCATTGAGGGTTACCTTATAGTAGGAGTTAATGTTACACATCCAGAGCTATCTAATCAATGACGTAAAACAGGAAAGACTTACTGCCCATAAAATGGCAAAGCAGCGAGAGTTATAAAATATTCTTTGTTTGAGGGCACTATATGTTGACCCCCATGTGGTGCGCTAGGCAAGCTTGACTGCAAGAGCCCCCTGTTGGAGACAAAGTGAAACAAGCTGGCTAAGTCGGCACCCCTTTAGAAGATGCTGTCCTAGGTGGCCGTCTGCCACTGATAGCGGCACGCGGAAAGTAGTTGAGTAGGGATAGATTAATCAGGGCTTTTTTTCAGGCCCAGGCCTGACTAAACGTACACGTCATGAGCCTCCCATCTCGGCTGCTTTGCTCACCCCTGCCGTTGATGTTGTGTGTGTCCATGAAGGAGAATGCCTCGTCGCAGTTGGTGCCCTGCTCCGTGTAGCTCTTGTCCATCGAGTTGACCATCACCGTCATCTCCTGCCGTGTGCTGCTCAGCGTCTCCTTCCGCTTCTTCGCCAGCTTCCTGCAGTCACACACAACAAGCACAGGGCACGCCTTATATATTTATGTGGACAATATATATACACATCTATCTATATTTCACATACACCCAAAAATGCTCCTCGCTTTACAGTGGTTCAACTTACGATATTTTAATTTTATGATGTGATATCAACGCACATTCAGTAGTCAGCTTTGAATTTTGTTCGGTTCCTGTTCTAGCGATATGTCGTACGATACATTCTCTGTCTCTAACGATCAGGAGTGTAAACATCTCATACATATGTCATAGTCATATCGTACAGTGCTTTTTTCTGTGTTTAAAATGTTCATTAACTTCTCAATTACTGGTTTTTAGTGCGTTTCAGTAATTATTTATTTACATGTCTGGGTTCATCAGAACACAACCCCACCATAAGTCGAGAAGCATCTGAATAATTAAAAAAACATACTGTATTTTCAATTTTTTTTTTTCTTAAACCACTGTACAGCTTTTGCTCTCCAACTTAACAAACCAATTCCAACATACTGCAGAAAGTGAGACCATGTATTACACTTTAAACCTTCATAATTTATCATTTCAGTCCGGAATATAAACACTTTTTTTTGGACCGAATTGCCTTGATTAGAATGTAAGCCCATGCAAATTTTGTAAACCAACCCACAGATGAAAGAATTAAATCCGCCGCCCCCCCCCGCCCAATGGCTGAGCTGCAGGGACTGCTGACAGGAATAAAGGCAATTATCTAAAGGTCAGGGAGAGCCCAGCGAATGCCCCCCCCCAAAAAAAAAGCTGGCCGACTCGAGCCTGAGACTCTCTGACGTCTCTTTAAAAGGACCAACCCAAGAGCAGGAATGTGTGATCCTGGGAATGCAGTGCAGCCAAGGAGAGGGGGGGAGAGAGAGGGGGCATGCTACCTGGACCACAGGGCAAAGAAGAATACAGGGACGGGGGTGGGGGGGTTGCTGAGGAGGCAGGGGGGTGTGATCTGACATCGTTCTCATGAGAGAGATGCTATGGTACGGGGACCCCCCTAAGCAGCCATGCCGGGACCTTCCGCACATGGCCTGTCATCTGAGGGGGTGGGGCAGTCTCTTCAGTGGGGTATGGGGGGGGGATGAATGATGCATTAGAAGGAGAGTCACAGGGATGTTTTCTAGCCTGCAGCAATGTGATGGCGGCTCCCTGAGAGGCGCCCGAGTGCGTCTGCTGCAGGGGCCGGTCGGCGCCCCCCGCCCCCCCCG